ACTAAGGTGGTAAGCAAAAGAAATACAGAGTCTGGGGAACTTGCTGTAGGCATTTGGAAATGTTTGTGTGAGAGGAACAGGAATGAAAAAGGGGGAGAAGGGACATGAGGTTTTAGTGTGGATAGTAATGCAGGTTTGGTGATAGTTCTGCTCACCAGAAGGATGTTTTATGTGTGTGGATACACAGTTTTTGCTGCTTTGCATGGATTATCTCTGCAGCATAAGGGAAGGAATGAGAAGTGGTGTAGAATGATCTCTGAACATTTGGCATTCAGTGCTCAGGACAGAGGGAGAACTTTTAGTTCAGTAAATCAGAGGACTTGCAATGTCAGAGACATGTGTAACAGGGTGTTATGCAAGTGGGCTGTCAATAAAAGAAGGATTAAGGAATTAATTGATGCACGGTTCAGGAGTCTAGGAGTTTTGCAGTATGAAATGGTGATGGTGAGTTAGAGCAACTTGAATTGTGTTCTCAGGATGTAAAGTTTGCGATCCTTCAAGTACCAACCATCTTCCTCTAAGTGCTCAATTTCATCACATCTTTGCTAACTTCAGTGAGAACTGAAAGCAATAAACTCTCAGGTTTGAGCCCTTAAACAGCTTCTTGGACTGTTGTGCTTCTGTCAAGAATTTTTAAAGACAGCAATGTGTTAGTGGAAACTTTGCAGTGAAATTACTTTGTATTGTTCAATCTCTTTTCACAGGAGAAGTATTAAATTTGAAGCCTGATTTTGATGTTACTTAGAATAATACAGAAAGGATTAGGGTGATGCCAGTGGAAGTAATTAATTTGCTTTGTGAATAAGCAATTGTCATGATTACAATTATTTTTCTAAAATCTGTTTAGCATGAGATGAAGGCTGAGTTCCTTCTACCCCTACACCCCACCTTGCAGCATTTGGAAAAAAAAAAAAAAAAGTTATTTATGCATTTCAAACTTATTTATTGTTTTGTCTACTGTGTCTCCTTTTTGCAGCATAAATTTCAATATAGTCAGGAGCATACATGAACATGTTGAAACCTAACCTTCCTGCATACTCAGAGCACTTAATTTGGATGCTATTGGGATTATTCATTTCTGTACCCAAATCACATTCTGAACTTTTTATCTATAAAAAGAGAGCAAGAATACTTCCTGATTTACCTGCTGGACGAGGGAGTACAGTATTTATGTACTCATGGTGGTACAGATAACTAAATCAAATAGATCTTAGCTTTTCAATTTGTGTTTGAATAATAGGAGTTGGGACCAAGAAAACGTTATTGTTTGTTACTGGTATTTTATGCAACACAATCAGTTTTTGCTATAAAGAATTGATATTCCAATATGCAAACCATGGAAATTCAAGTTAATATAGGAAATAGATGGAAAATTATGAATCATTATCAAGGTTGATATGACCTAAGTAGAAATTCTAAGTATGTTTCACTTTTTAAAATAATTATCTCAATTTTCAAATTATATTTTTCAAGAAATTGTTACAAATACAGTACTTTGTATGCTTCAACGTAATGCAAATGCTGCCACTTATTTCAGCAAGAGCAGGATTTTACTTATTGTTTTCAGCAAAATGCATAATTTTGCGCTTCTATTCTGTTAAAAATGAATTTTAATTGTAATATATTTTCTGTCATGTCTTAGTATAAAATAGATACGTTGTGCATATTATTTAATTTTTAGATACCTGTAAATTTTTAAAAGTTGTGGTGTATGTTAATTGGTGTAACATCCACTGTCATAATTTTTATATTTGAAAGCATATTAGCAGTATATTCTTATAATAAAGCAGTTCAAAAGTGTTGCTTACTAAAACAAACACAGTCTGATGCTTCTAGAATAGTAATTTAGAGTTAGTATTTCTCAGAAACAGAAAAATATGTATATATACATCCATCCAGTGAATCCAAGATTTATTTTCCAAAATGCAACGTAATCTGAATAGCAAAAAAGTTCAAGAAGGCTGTGGATGGGCGTAGGGAAGGATTTCAGTCTGCATCTTCTCTAAAAGTAGGCAGATAATCCTGTTGGGCAATCAGAGCTTTTAGTGATTAACCAAATGAAGTTTTTTGATGTCAAGACAGAAAGTGATAATTTCTTACTGAGTAAATCTTTATTATTATTCTTTTGCATAAAGAGTTTTTTCTTCATTTTATATCTGAATTAAACAGTCATAATGTTGGACTACACCAGTCTTTTAGAGTAATCCCAGCCATATTACAGGGATCTAGATTTTCATATATATAACATATGTAGCTGTGGTATTGTGTGTCCTACAATGCTGTACTCAGTTTACTTCTGTAATGATATGTCTGGTTATGAGATTCTGTCTCCAGAGCTTTGCACTGATGGTGTCACGAAATCTAGTCAGACCAGTTCCAGCATCAGATTTCAGATTTCTGCTGAGATTGAGATTGAAACAGCAGTTGCACACTTTTTTGAAATGGAAATTAATGGCATGTAGTCCTTAGGAAATTGTTGGTTTCTTTGTTTTTGTTTTGTTATTTGCTTTGTTTTGTTTTTATTTCTTTCTTATTCCTTGGAAGATATTTTGAATCTTTAAGGATATTTTTATACAACTTAAACTTGAAATTCAGTATAAAGGTTTGGATTTTTTTTTTAATTAACTTTAATGTCAGAAAGAGTTAAATAGTTGCAAATAGTACATCTGTGGTGGTTCAGTCTAGTTGTTCACAAAAATTTTAAAATATGACTTTGTTTGAAATGCAAAAATGATTATTAGAGTACTCATTACATAGATATCTTAAAAGTAAAAAAAAAAAAAAAAAAAAAAAAAAAAAATTAAGCAGCACCTCAAAAACTCTGACAAATAAAGCATTAACTTGAGCTCTCTCAAACCTCTCAACTGGATTCACATTCCCAGCATCAGAAATCAAAGATCTGTGAAAGATTTCAGGTAGTTTTTTCTGATTTTGTAGGAATATGGATTTTGTTCTTACTTTTTTTCTGAATCCATTATTTGTTTTCATACCTTCTTATGTTTTTACATTCTTCTTCTGCACGTACATAAGCACTTATGCCTAACTTAATCAAAACTTTGCATGTTACTTATGAAACCAAGCAGGATCTGGCAAGTTACTTTTGTCAGAATCTCCAAATTTTTAATATGTCCAAAGTCAGACAGGTCAGTTAAACTATATACTTGATAAACATATCAACATTCATTATATTTAACAATTTCTTAATTTTGTCTCTAGATCATACATCCTGGTTATAAAAATTGTGGCTTTGTTTTACTAATAGGAAAGTTGGAAAGTTGAAAGAAAAAGCATTTCAAAATCACCTAATATGTTGAGCTGCACTTTAAAATGACTATGGCCTTTCCTTACTTAAAAATGCATATTCACAAACTGAGATGTTTTCTATAGGATTATGTAGCTCATGGATGGCCTAATTTTTTTATTTTTATTTATTTATTTATTTATTTATTTTAGATCATACTTTTACATTACCTGTAGAATAAGTCTGCACCGAATATTTTTTATTTATTCCTTAGCATATATTTTGTTATGATATCAGGGAACTTGAATAAAAGGGCAAGGTTTAATATACACTACAAAAAAAAAAAAAAAAAAAAAAGCAAAATGCAATATGATAAGTTAAAATTTTTAAGGTATATACTACGTAAGTGGAACATACAAATGTTTTTTAGCTTCACAGCATACTGGGTTTTCAGAGACTTGATTTTGATACTGTCATAACAACTGAAAATATCTAAAAAGGGTAAGATTAGAAAAAGCTTATTTCTAGGGCATGCATTTTTATTTCTGATTAGCGTGATTTCATAACAAGCTTGAATTTGTAATGAAGTAACATTGAGAATGTTGCTAATGCATTTTTTGGTTGTATTTTTAATTGGCTTGTTGCTGAGATTTTAGATGGCATTTTTGTGATAAGACTGACCATGTTTTAAGTGTTATTCCTACGTACATACTCCACAAAATCTGGATGAATTGTTATCAGTAGTTATCAATCCTAAAAACATATTTTTGTAAAGGTAAAACTTCATATTAATTCAATATTGTGGATCAGATGGTACCTTACACATTAAAACTGTAAGACTAATTTGTGAATATATATTGAAAAAAAACCAGCTAGGTATAATATGTATAAGCACTGAATTTTTATCATGGGTATCATTCTTCGCTTATAGCAATAAGTCAGTGAGGAATAAATTTGTTGACATTAATGAAACTTGTTTAAATAGGAGGAAGGTTAGGATTAGCAGGGAGATCCCCTTTGTTTGAAGATATTTGGGTAAACTTTTTAAGAGAGACAAGCACCATATTTTTTATTTTTAAAGTCTTCAATATTTAGATACACTCTCCTACTGTTCTTCATCGTCAAGGCTGGATAACAGTAAGGTGTACAACATCCTGAACTTTCGTATTCTGATATGGGTAATGGGTTCAACAATCAAGATTGTGTCCAATTCAAGATGAACCATTTTATCTGTCCACACTATGCTATACTTGCTTTCACCAAGTGTTTTTTTTTGTTCGGTTGGTTGGTTGGTTTTTTTAAATTATTACTACATTATTATAGATCTTTTAAGGGAAGCTAATTAATGTGAAACATATTTTGTCTTATAATTTGGTTTGCAATATTAGCCTGGAAAGAGAGGAATCAGATGAAAACACTCACCTTGAGACAATCTATGATAATCTTTTCATGTGAGAATAATACCTGCATTTGTTTAATCTTTTATCTGAAATGTGCTGTGCTGAAAGCAGTATGTTATGTAGAAAGTTAATAGTTTTCCTGTTATTCTCTTTAATTCTTTGTATTGTACATTTGAAAGAGATGCAGAGCATTAAAAAACCTGATAAGCTGTATTTCATTTTATTTTTTTAATCTTTTCTTTTAAAAGCATATTAACTAATTTGCTTCATTTTTTCCTTCCTTTTATAGGGTAGCAAAATATTATAGTGTTCATGCGCAAAGCAGAAGTATTATTTATATATATTTTTTTTAATTACAGGTAAAGATTATAGTTCCCAACAGCACAGCAGGTCTGATAATAGGGAAGGGAGGTGCTACAGTGAAGGCTATAATGGAGCAGTCAGGGGCTTGGGTGCAGCTTTCCCAGAAACCTGATGGGATCAACTTGCAAGAGAGGGTTGTCACTGTGAGTGGAGAACCTGAACAAAACCGAAAAGCTGTCGAACTTATCATCCAGAAGATACAAGAGGATCCACAGAGTGGCAGCTGTCTCAATATCAGTTATGCCAATGTCACAGGTCCAGTGGCCAATTCCAATCCAACCGGATCTCCTTATGCAAACACTGCTGAAGTGTTACCAACTGCTGCAGCTGCTGCAGGGCTATTAGGACATGCTAACCTTGCTGGAGTGGCAGCCTTTCCAGCAGTTTTATCTGGCTTTACAGGCAATGACCTGGTGGCCATCACCTCTGCACTTAATACATTAGCCAGCTATGGATATAATCTCAATACATTAGGTTTAGGCCTAAGTCAGGCAGCAGCTACAGGGGCTTTGGCTGCAGCAGCTGCCAGTGCCAACCCAGCAGCAGCAGCAGCCAACTTGTTGGCCACCT